TCGGAAATTCAAATGAATACAGTATTTCAGGTATGTTGATATATGTATCAAATTGCATAACTTTTCTTTTGTAAAAGTTATTTGTAAAATCCTTTGTAAAAATCATTTGTAAAAATCAGTTGTAAAATCATTAAATATTGTGAGGTACAAGTTTATGCAAAAACGTCTTGGTGAAATTCAATTAACAACAACAAAGATGAAATGCAAAAAAATCCCGTGAAGGTGGGAGTTTTTGAAATACAGTAAATGCCTGTCAAAACTCTTTATCACACGTTTTAAATACTGGCAAACACATCAAATTATTGTTTTTTAATCGTTTCCAAACATTGTTTCAACTCACAGACTTCATGAATATTTTAACTCTCTTTAATTCGATTGATGAAACGTCTTCCTTCGTTTGAAATTCATATTTTATATAAAGGGCGAATAATTTAAATTTTCAGTTAGGAAAAAAGCGCGTTTCCCCACAAAAAATAAAAGAATTACCTAAAGTTTTCCAGTGCCTATGTCATATGAAATAAGGGAAAATTCGAAATGTATTTACAGAAATATAATGTTTTTAATTCTAGTTCTGAATTTTAACCAAAGTTCCTTCAGGTGATAGCTCAGTCTATCGCCTCTTTGAAACATAAACCTTTGTTGGTCTGGTGCTGTCTTCTTGGCTTCTAGTAGCCTAAAAACAGACCTTTCGTTCGTGAGGCTTCTTGTGGCTGCGGCTCTCAACATGAACGCTAAGCGTACCTATTTTTTACCATTACGGAATTAGTTCCCTTGACAGGCCTTTCGGCCCTTCGTGCCGACCGGAGATCAAGCATAATTATGGTTGCGTATTGCGTTACGGTACCATAGGCAGCCCAATGGCGACTCGCGTGTTCAGGCAATGTAGGCATTATATAGTATATATATATCCTAAGGTAGGCAACTTCAATCCTGATATCGACATGGACACATGCAAACAATCAGAAAATACGTCGAATTATCCCTAAAACTAAGCTAAAATAACAGCAGAAATGAAATCTACGATAATTTTACCACATACTGGCTATATTTTAATATTGAAAACAAGTTATGGAAGCAAGAAAAATACGATAAGCTTTTGATATTTTACTCATTTTTTGAATGGGCCGATGCTGGACCCGCGTTGTTGACTTTTGAGAACGTTGAAAATGACGAGTTTGAAATCTGATTGGCTGCTTTTTGTTCTCGCTGTTGTGACAGCCAATCAGATTACAAACTCGTCATTTTCAACGTTCTCAAAAGTCAACAACGCGGGTCCAGCATCGGCCCATTCAAAAAATGAGTAAAATATCAAAAGCTTATCGTATTTTTCTTGCTTCCATAACTTGTTTTCAATATTAAAATATAGCCAGTATGTGGTAAAATTATCGTAGATTTCATTTCTGCTGTTATTTTAGCTTAGTTTTAGGGATAATTCGACGTATTTTCTGATTGTTTGCATGTGTCCATGTCGATATCAGGATTGAAGTTGCCTACCTTAGGATATATATATACTATATAATGCCTACATTGCCTGAACACGCGAGTCGCCATTGGGCTGCCTATGACGGTACCATATATTTTAACCGCAATATAACGGTATACAACACTTCACCACATGTTTTTCTTCCAATTTTTTTTAAATATTGAAACTGTTTTCATAATTCTCGTCTCCGAAGTATAACATTCAGGAATAAACAAAGGTATTACTGTTAAAATATTGTATTTAGATATCAAAGTATTTATCAGTGTACGTGTTGTGTTAATTATTTATAGTTCATTAGAAATGCAAACGACGCAAAATTACTGTAGAAAACTGTAGTACTATTGCAGAATGTTGTGATATTTTATCTTTGAGTTTTCACCTGTCTTTAGATGTTCATTTGGGAATAAGACATGCCTTTTTTCGCAATATTAAGACTATTTTCTGTTTTAGTTTTGTTGAAACCATAATTGTTATAGCAAAATAAAATAGGCTTTATTCAACTTAAAACCTTGCCAAATAAAATTCTAAATAATTTGTACAAAATGGAGGTCAATCACCGTCTTTTATACATTACAATTAATGCGGGCTCATAGAAATTATGAGCTACTTCATTTAGAATAAATAATTGTTATATCATTCTTCCTCCCTAAAAGGTTTTAATTCGGCACAACTTCGGCACGTTGAACACACTTTCTTGACCTCCTCTGTAGAGTATGGAAGATTCTTAGACTTTACGAAATGTAACATTCGTGTTACACCAGGATGGCACAACCCAGCATGAATTTCCTCGAGGTTGTTTGATGACATCGAAGCAGAGAATGCGCGTGTAAATGAATCAGGAGCAACATTATCCTTTCCAGGTCGATATTCGACTGAATAGCTAAAGGAGCCAAGCTCGAGTCGCCAAGCCTGAATTTTATTGTTCTTAATCTTGGTCCGCCTTCTGTTGTCGAACATGAACGCTACAGACCGCTGATCCGTTTTTAATGTAAATTGACGACGAGCCAGAAAATGCTGCCATTTACGAACTGCCTCTACAATAGCCATTGCCTCCTTCTCTACAGCAGGATAATGTAGTTCACTGCCATGGAGCATCCTCGTCATAAATGCCACTGGTCGGCCAGCCTGATTTAATGTAGCAGAAAGTGCCACTTCTGATGCATCGCACTCGACCACAAATGGAAGGCTCTCATCTATATGGTGAAGAGCTGCATTCTCGAGTTCTTTCTTGAGAATGTTAAATGCAGCTAGAGCATTTGCGTCTAATGGAAATATTGTAGCCTGCATTAGAGGTTTGATCTTGTCAGAAAAGTTCGGTATTTTGCATAATAGGCAAACATCCCAACTACTCTCTGTAGCGTTCGCGCATTCTCAGGTGGTGGAAACTCTTGAAGGGGACGCAGCCTTTCTGGATCAGGAGTAATCACACCATGTCCGATACCATATCCGAGTAGATTGATTGATGACTTGGATTCAACAGATTTCGTTTCATTGAGGGTAAGATTTCGTTTATTGACAGCTTCATGGAACTTCTGGACATTTTCGTCATGCTCTTCTTGGTCTCGTCCCGCTACCGTTATATTATCCAAATATGGAAATGTATCTTTAAGTCCTTCCTCGTCGACAAACTTATCCATTGCCCTTTGGAAAACCGCTACACCATTTGTAACACCGAACGGTATGCGTCGAAAGTGATAGAGTCTTCCATTAGCCTCGAATGCTGTATATTTCTGATCAGCTTCCTTTATTGGTACCTGATGATAGGCACTTTTAAGATCAAAAGTTGAGAAAACTTTATAGCCAGCTAGGTTGTTTATCATGTCATCAATTCGTGGTAGAGGGTAGGCATCAAGCTCAGTATACTGATTAACGGTTTGTGAGTAATCTATGCAGAGCCGCTTCTTGTGTCTATTCAACGGGTCTTTAACGACAACAACCTGTGCTCTCCAAGGTGAATTACTGGTTTCAATAATCCCCGCTGAGAGAAGTTGATTAATTTCCTGTTCTATGAAATCTTGATCTTCCTTACTAAAGCGTCTCGACTTACTTGCAATCGGTTTGCAATCCGGGCGAAGATTTGCAAAGAGAGATGGCTCTTCAAACGATGCAGCAGAGAGAGCACAAACAGGGGTAGACTTTGGAATCACTAGCTCTGGCTTAGGACCACCATATTCGATAACAACACTTCTATGCTCTTTCTGGAAATCCTGACCAAGGATTATGTCACTACAAAGATCCTTAAGTATCCCCAAACGACAGGACGAATACACATGTTTATCTAGATTAATATCTACATAACAGTGACCAAGAACATGTGACTTAAGGGAACTAAGGGCCATAGATACATCTTGGGTTGATGGATGAACATGAAGGTCAAGGTGTTCGGCCGTACTTTTACTTATATAGCTGTCCGAACTGCCAGAATCAACAAGCGCAGTCAATGTTTTTTCCCCGACAGAGACCATTACCGAAGCTTGCTTCAAAGAAGCTGGGCAGGAAGCAACAATTGAACAAAGTGTAGGTGAAAATATTGAAGCAACCGTAGATGTTTTTGACTTGCAAACTTTTGCATAATGCCCCTTTTTGCCACAGTTATCACACACACAATTTCGGGCAGGACAATTTCTTCTACTATGGATGGCATTGCCACAAAAATAGCATTTCTTCGATGTAAATGTTCCCGCAAGAAGAGCATCGTCATCTTCTTTCGAGGTCTGTTCTGCTACTAAGGCCGGAATAGCAGCTGCTGTAGCTGTGGGAATAGTGGGCATAGTATATGTTTCCGCATTTTTCTGCGCTAAATCTAAAGCATTAGCTTGGTCAAACGCTGATTTCAAATCTAGTATGCTGTTCTCTAGCAAACGTTGACGAATTAATGGGGAAAGTAGGCCATTTATAAAGGAATCTCGAATTAGTTCCTCGCGATATTGTTCGGCTGTAACACTTTTAAGATTACAGTCTTTACTTAGCCTCCGAAGCTCTTGAAGAAATTCTACGAGTGTTTCCCCTGGCTTTTGGCGTCTTGTAGCCAGTAAGTGTCGAGCAAATATTTCATTTGGCTTTTTAATGAATAGTTGATTTAATATTTCGAGCGCTGAATCATAGTCTTCACAGTCTTCAATATACTCATACACGTTGTGTGATATATAGTTAATAAGAGTACGATACTTATCTGGAGCTTTACTACCACACTCTGCGAGGAAGTTAGTGAACGTTTTATACCAATGCTTCCATTCTTTAGCCGCAAATGGTGAATTAGGATCCAAGTCGAGACGAGCTGGTTTTAGTAAAGTATCCATATTGAAGTCTGTTATATTAAGTTGAATAAATTGTTGAAACCATAATTGTTATAGCAAAATAAAATAGGCTTTATTCAACTTAAAACCTTGCCAAATAAAATTCTAAATAATTTGTACAAAATGGAGGTCAATCACCGTCTTTTATACATTACAATTAATGCGGGCTCATAGAAATTATGAGCTACTTCATTTAGAATAAATAATTGTTATATCAAGTTTCAAGAGGAATTTCTGTGCCCAGCAAGCCAGCATTCCGAATTACGCCCCTGTTGTCAACTTCACGACAATATTTGAGCATATCAAGATATTTATCGCTGTAGGTATTTATTATAAGTTTATTAGAAGGATCATGTTATCTTAACAACCTTGTCATCAATTGGGGTCGTAAACTGCCATGGTCATATGAATACATGATTCCCGCAAAATATTGATTTTATCATAGGCAGCCCAAATATGCATGATAATTTAAAAGTTTTATTCAGAATAAAAGGGTTTACAAATCTATTTCTCCAGCTTAGATAAGTGGAAGCTATTGTACATAGCATAAATTTACCTATTTGTATTGACACAGTGGTTATACCAGTCTAGGGTACATCCATGCAATTGCCATGCTGAAGGTTTAGAAATGTATTATGTTTTTATGTCAAGATGTTTGAATTTTTTGGCAATCATCAAATATAATTATGTAGTGATAAGGTCTGGTGAAATTAAGCAAGATGATTAAGAGTGTTACACCTAGATTGCTTGTTTAAATTTTTGGTGACCATTTTATAACCATTGACAATGGAATGATTTGTTTTATTACACACCAACATCTTAGTGATTATATACCAACACATGCATACTGCATGAGGTGTATAAAATAATTTCTCAGGTTAAAACATAATTCTGATAAATTAAAACATTTATCCTGAAGTTGTCCATGCCAACTTCTACAGTAAGGATTTTCATCATCCCTAGGGTCACGTACCAAAGTGCTGCATGGTAACTGCAGCTAGGGCACCTGCACAACTGCAATCACAGTCAGAATTTTTAAAATATATTGGCTAGACCACAGTGGAGATAAAAATATTAAACTATTCATATTTAAAACTTGACAGATTTTCTTACCTTTATCTGGATTGATTTTCACTGTGTTAACTATGTTCCAAATTGAATGATGTCTTTGCTCTGCTATTGAATGAGAAGGTAAAGGATTGTGGTTTATTACACATTTTGTATCTCCATCTCCTGTTCATTAATTTATTAATGACTACAGGTATATCAGCAGATGTGCATATATAAATATCCTTATTATATTATAATATTCTTATTTTATGAAGTGGAAAAGTGAACACTATATAGTGTATAATCCCTAATAGGGGAGATCACTAACCACTAAGGGCTTAAAATTTGTATTGGGGAAGTGCTGAGATTTGGAGGAAGTTTTAGAAAAAGTAGATGACCAAAATATAAATTTTGAGGTATTGTAACATGTAAAGTTGACTGACAGGAACTATTTTCATGTGGATATCACCGCATGGTCATGACAATTATGGCGAGATCTTTCCTATAGTGATACATGAGTGTTAATTGAGAATAAAACGACTGTTTCCGGTTAAACTAGATAGATAGATAGATCTTTAATTAAAAGGGCAGGTTGCAGCCAAAAGGCTGAATTGCGTACCCTAATTTACATTATTATCAATGGTTGATTAGAATAAAAAAACAAAACTATTTTCCAAGTGCATGTATTAATATATATGGAACTACAAAACTACAAAGAGGTTAAAAAACAATTATTCATGCAATAAAATGCTTGCTTCGAGGTGAAGGCAAAAAACTGTTTCTAAATCTGTTCGTTTGATTTAGTCCACAGAACAACAAAGTTTCTAGAGAGTCTCAGATTATAGTATGGGAAGTGTCTAGATGGTATAACATAAATGTTTTCTGCTGCTTCTGTTGTAAATTCTTTAAATAGTTTTTCGCATGCTTTCACGCGCCTGTCACTTAATAACTTGATGCCACATTTTTCTAAGCAATCCGCATAGAAATTAAGTGGAAAGATAATTGATAGGACATGCTTATAAACTCGTTCAAAGGTATTGGATAGGTACATAAGTTGGGAGGGAGAAATGATGTAAATTCCAAAACTGGTCTAACACAAGTAGTGTAGAAGTTTATAATGTCCACTTCAGGAATATGAATATGTGAGCACGTTTCAACTGAATGATGAAATAGATACGTGTGTTAACTTTCTTAATTATGTTGGTTACATGTTGATTGTTGGTTACATGTCAGGTTTTGTGAAACTAATAACGATTTCCTTACACTTAGAAGCGTTTAATTGCATCTTGTTCTCTTCTGACCAAGTTTGAACATTTTTTACTGTATCCTGAATATTACTAGGTGTAAATAATTTCGGATATGGTGGTATCATTAATGTATTTCCATCGTTCGTGATGGGGAGAATGGAGGTCATTTATCATTAGAATAAAGAGCCACGGGTCCCAATTTGATTCCCTGGGGGACACCAGAAGAAACATGTAACCATTCGGACAAACAATCTCTTGCTAATTTCACTCGTTGTAGTCTGTCAGTGAGAAAGTCAGTAACCCAACGTTTGATGAAAGTTGGCATTGACAAACGGATGACTTGTGGAAAGTCTTCTTGTAATTGAACAATACCGCTCTTACAGCGTTGCCAGTTTCGTCACTAAATGACAATATCTTGCTATTTGCTCATTACATAATTCACACACTGTTTCTCTCTAAATGTATTGCTTTCAGTCCAGCTCTTGAAAAAATCAATAACCTTGACTGTCTGTATGTATGGCTCATGTACAATACATGTATGTAGCAACATCATAAATGTTCGTAATATGTCGATTCTTATGGCATGTTTCCAAAACCTAAATATACTCAGACCAAATAGGACAGTCAATTAATGTCAGCTATCTTTTGAAATTACTCGCTGCGATAATCTTTTAAGGAATACATCATTACAATATAGCAAAATTAGGCAGTGCTTCAAATCTTTTGTGTTCAAAATCTTTTGGCGCTGTAAAACACGGGCGGGGAAACGGCTGTATCCCCCTGATCTATGTGCGATGCGCGTAGCCCCCCAACATTTTTGTATTTTTATTATTTTTAACTTTTTAAAAAAAACATGATAGGACGATACAGAAAATAAGCGTTTTAACTGAATAATTTGGACGTCCCGTCACACAAAATTGACGAGTTAAAGTAGCAGAACTTTCAGTCGAGCAGTTTAATAGTATAACAAATGTGTGTATTAAAATTATGAATAGTTAGTAGATTACCCCCCCCCCATATACGGATGGAAGGGATGCAACCAAAGACGTCACAATGGGTATACACGAGAATGCCACGTGAACATTATGTGAGGATACATGATAGTTTCACGTGAACATCGTACGTTTAATGTTCAAGATGTGAAACTAAAATGTACACGGGTGTTTCACATGTACATCATGCCTTTGATGTATGTAGTGTTTATGGGCCGGGTTATTGTGTAGGAGTGAAAACCAAATTTAGTGTGAATCATTTATTATTTCGATTTGTTGAAACATGATGATACAGTACGATTAATCTATAAGATAATTTTTATTAATATAGTTTAGGTAATTTACGACTATTAAATATATAGTAATTTATGAAACGATTAACTATTGTTCTATAATCACTTAAATTTGCGGTTTGTTGTATTTTGATGAAATGTGCAATCATCAATCAGTAAAATTTAATGTTTGAGGGAAATATGAACGAGTCTAGTAGATGCAATGTTGACATTATTTATAGTTATGCTCACGTGACTAGTTGTCACGGGGGGTCAAGATCAACGTTAGTTACTTAGTTACGAACACGAGGTAGAAAAACGTCGAACTTGTAGTAGCGATTTATCTAACAATACTTTTATAGTATAAGAAGTTCAGAAGCATTAAATACCAATTTATAAACATTACATTGGCGACGAGGTAAACAAAAGCAGCTATCGTTTATAAATAAAAACGATTTTGAAACCTCTAATCGACGAATAAAGTCAGAAAGTCATGGCAAGTGGCCGAATCGATTTAACCCCAATGGCGCCATTTGATTGATCCCTTGGCAGATCCAAGTTCTCTCAGCCAACGATGGAAAACGTGGAAACGACGATTGGAAACATATTTTGTGGCTCTAAATGTTACGGAGAAGAAACAAAAACGAGCTCTCTTTCTATACCAAGCTGGCCAAGAGACTCAGGATATTTTTGACACCCTTGCTGAAATCGGCGAAGATGACGATTATATGATTCCGCCATCGCTGCCCTTGATACGTATTTCTCACCTCAAAAACATGTCGATTTTGAAATCTTTAAGTTTCGTGAAGCCAAACAACAATCCCATGAATCCAGAGATCAATTTTCAACTCGTCTTAGGAAAATGGCAACAAACTGTGACTTTGCAAACATTGATAAAGAAGTGAAATCGGCCATAATTCAAAACTGTTCATCGAAACGTTTACGACGCTAGATTCTCGCTAAAGGCAGAGCTTTCAAACTTAGTGAATTGCAAGCAGCCGGCATTGAAAACGCACTGGAATCAATACATATTTCTGACGAAGTAGCTGAAGCCGTGCGTCCTCAAGGGACAGCCAACCAAAGTAATCATGATCAACAACCAACATCGTTTCATCGTCAAGATTTTCACACTTCATCACAGTGTCGAAATTGTGGGGGGGGAGCTCTGGCCCCATAACAACAATAGTTGTCCAGCAAAATCTTGTTTGAACTGTGGGAAAAGCATTCATTTTGCGAAAGTCTGCCGTAGTGCCCGCAAGCCTCGTACAGTCAATAAGTCAACGAGAAAACCAAAACTCTTTAAAAAAATATCTTAAAAAAAGTCCAAAAGATTTCTCGCCAACCCTCCAGCAATGAAAGCAGCAGCGAGGATGAATTCATTTTCACGCTAAAACCATCATGTAGAGACAAAACAACACCTCGGGTCCAAATCTTGGTCAAGAACACACCTATTAATATGGTTATCGACACTGGTGCCTCCATCAACATCATCGATGAACTTGCTTTCAACATATTACAGAGATCCTTATCCCTACGACATTCCAAGACACGTGTTTTTGCATACGGTTTCAACCACCAGTTGCCTGTTATGGGACAATTTCATGCCACCTTGCAATGCGCGATAGGCACAACAACCACACGAGTTCATGTTATCAAAGGAAATTTTGGTTGTTTGCTCAGCTATCAAACGGCATCTACTTTGGGTCTTATATGCTAAAGATCAACAATGTAAAATCTGGACCCATGACCAATTGTTGAAAGAGTATGCCCATATATTCAATGGAATTGGAACCCTTAAAGATTTTGAAGTTAAATTGCGCATTGATGATACTGTTCCTCCAGTGGCACAGAACCCCCGCCGTATTCCTTTCCACATGCGGCAAAAGGTCTCAGATGCACTTGACAAACTAGAAAGTGATGGAATTATTGAAAAAACATCAGTTTAAAGCAACTCCTTTGGTCAGCCCATTGGTGGTTCTTCCAAAGAAAGATGGCGATGTCAGACTGTGTATTGACATGCGTAAAGCTAATGAAGGGATTCAGCGCGAACGGCATCCAACTCCAACTGTGGATGATTTAATTCACAAGCTAAATGGTGCCACCGTGTTCACAAAGCTTGATCTTCGTTCAGGATACCATCAGTTATCGCTCGCAGAGGAAAGTCGACACATAACCACCTTTACAACACACAAAGGGCTTTACCACTATAAAAGGTTGAACAGATCCGGGACATTCCGAATGCCATTAACATTAGTGATGATATAATCATCTTTGGTACAACACAAGCAGAGCATGACAAAGCCCTTCATGAAATATTTGAGCGGTTTTCACTCATTGGACTCACTTAAACCAGGACAAATGCGAGATCAGTCAAGTACAGCTCACATTTTTTGGTTTTGTCTTCTCGGGGGAAGGAATTTCACCAGATCCAGCCAAGGTCTCAGCCATTCATGACTGCCCACCTCCAAAATCAGTCAAAGCTGTTCGGAGTTTCCTTGGTATGGCAACATATTGTGCCAAATTCATTTCTAATTTCAGTGAGCTCACAAAACCTTTACGGGAACTAATACGAAAGAATGTACCTTTCAGTTGGACATCAAGACATGAGCAGGCATTCATCTCAGTGGAAGCTGCTCTTACAAGCGCAACAGTCATGGCATATTTCGATCAAACTAAAGACACAGAATCTGAACATTACAGATGCATCAGCTGTGGGTCAATAAGCGATTCTGATGCGGAAAGCCTCCGGATCAGAACAAAGAAATGTTGTCGCATACATCAGTCGGTCCTTATCAGACGTCGAAAGACGATATAGCCAAACGGAGCGAGAAGCTCTTGCAATTGTGTGGGCTATTGAACGTTTACATATTTATTTATACGGAGGACATTTCACTCTGCTAACTGATTGCAAACCAATCGAGTTGATCTTGAACAACCCAAATTCACGACCCCCGGCTAGAATTGAAAGATGGAATCTACGATTGTAGGATTATGATTTTAACGTAAGTTACACCAAGGGGCTTAACAATCCATCAGACTTTCTATCACGACATTTACCTGTCAATGACACCACTGATGACAGACATTTCCAAACAATGGCAGACAACTATGTTTGCTTCCTAATCCAACATGTTGTTCCAAGAGCAATGACACTGCCTGAAATACAGCAAGCCACTTTGGCTGATCCAACATTACAGTTCCTGGGTACCCTCGTATCAACAGGTCAGTGGCATTTACTGGATGTGCAATCCAATCCCAATTATTTACTGGATGTGCAATCCAATCCCAACATAAAAGTCTCGGATTTGAAAGCGTACCAGAAAATTAAAACAGAACTTACACTAAATGAACAGGATGGAGTCATATTTAGTCTAGGACCTGTAAAGGAGTTTGTATGTATTTCATTTAGGACAGATTATCTCAACTGTTTTAGGGTAATATGACCATGGCGGTCAACATGGCATATGTGCCAAAATGTGAATCCGGGACGAAAGTCCTGAAAATGACCACACCCAGAAACGGCATAGTCGACATTGCTCTAAATCCTGAATTATCCAAGCTACAGTCTTTCTGAATTGTTTATGTTGTTCAGAATGGTTGCTTTCAGGGGTGGTCACTGGAGAGTGAAATTAGCCTAAGTTGCATATTTCACAAGAAAATGAATGTTTACTATTCCAGTTCAAAAATTACAGATTCACCTGGCAAAGTCTAATTTTCCCTATTTTCTAAAAATTTTTGCCATATGATGAAAAAACGTGCTTATTTTAATATATTTATTATAAATTTCCTAGGAAATAACAATGTTTTGTTGCGATACGACATATTTCATTTCACTAACCCCCCGCCATAACACGATTTCAGCCACATTTTGCAAATTTGATCGCCGTTTTTCGCCGTCCGTCGCAAGCACCATCCAAATACTGTACTTTAGCACGATTCTAGTGGACTAAAGAATTATTCAACCAATTTTCGATGGGTTTTGAAGTAGTGCCATGTAATATTTTTTCATTTTTGTGTCCCTTGACATTTCGTCAATTATGTCACCATTGCCATGTCTCGTCGCCTTTCTGCACGATAAATGCCAGTTCTTGATCCCCAGCTGTATTTTTTTTACAGCATCGATAAATAATTGATAGTACAATAGCAGCTATCCAAAATTTAAAAGCATTTGTCCAACTTGAAAGTAAAGAACCACCCCTCGTTTATCAGGAATGAAATTTAAGTGCGAAAGATTCAAAATAATTTGAAAGTCTCGCGCAAACTCCGCGACGAGCCCTCGTGGACAGCATTCCGGGGGGACAAAAATTCAAGCATACATTTGTTCAAAACCACAATCAGTCAACAACCCGAGTAAAATTTGTGCGTTTTTGCTGTTAATATTTCTCATAACAAAATTAACAAGTCTCCGCGTTTAAATTGCATTTTCTTGCTTTCACAAAGCTAAAAAAATAAACCAGAAATGTATTTGTGAAAATAACCCCCCCTGCAATGTTGCCCACGAACATTTGTCGTGGCTAATTTCACTCTCCAGTGACCACCCCTAAAAGCAACCATTCTGAACCACATAAACAATTCAGAAAGACTGTAGCTTGGATAATTCAGGATTTAGAGCTGTGTCGACTTTTTCTGGGTGTGTTCATTTTCAGGACTTTCGTCCCGGATTCACATTTTGGCACATATGCCATGTTGACCGCCATGGTCATATTACCTTAAAACAGTTGAGATAATCTGTCCTAAATGAAATGCACACAAACTCCTTTACAGGTCCTAGACTAAATACGAGGTTCGCGAATTGTCCTTCCCGAAAGCCTTAGACTAAAGGCTATTCATATTGCTCATGAAGGCCACCAAGGGCTTGTCAAAACTAAACAGCTATTGCGAGAAAAGGTTTGGTATCCTGGTATAGACCAACTAGCTAAACATACAGTGGATACTTGTTTATTATGTCAAGCAAATGGACCAAACCGTCACCAATAACCATTACGTATGACAACTCTACCACCCGAACCCTGGCACACAGTGAATATTGACTTTAGTGGACCATTTCCTGGTGGCTCCTATCTGTTAGTAATCATTGATGCATATTCACGTTTCCCGGAGGTGGAAATTGTAAGCTCGACCTCTGCAAAATCCACAGTATTGAAACTTGAACGAATTCTTGCCACACATGGCATCCCAAAGGTGTTAAAGAGTGATAATGGCCCACCATTTCAGAGCCATGAGTTTAGTGTGTACCTAAAAGAGCTTGGCATTACCCATAAACCAAGCTCACCATTATGGCCCTAAGGAAATGGACTAGCTGAAAACTTCATGAAACCACTTGTGAAGGCTATAAAATCCGCATATCATGACAACAAAGATTGGAAGCGTGAAATGTTAAATTCTTGCTTAACTTCAGAGCTACCCTACATGCCACTACTGGCAAGTCACCGGCAGAGTTGCTATACAACCGTCAGCTTTAAACAAAATTACCCCATGTGTTGTTTGATAACCAGTCCCCAATTCATCAAGAGCTGAAAGAGAGAGATGAAAGGTTGAAAAATAAACAAAAGGACTATGCTGATTCAGTGAAACGTGCTGACATAAAAAAAAGAGATTTAGTTTTCGTGCGACAATCTATGTCAAACAAAATGTCCACAAAATACGACCCAACACCATACGAAGTTACAAGTCGCCGTGGCAACTGGATCACCGCAGTGAGGAATGGGAAATACATAACACGGAACATTTCCTTCTTTAAAATGTTTCACCCAAAACATGGAAGACCACTGAATTCAACAGATAACCCAGATGAAGAAAATTATTTCTCAGACGAAGATGTTCGCGTAGAGAATGAACATCACAATCGAGTGCGACAGAATGATCGTCCAAGATAAGACATTGGTCCCAGACAAAATGATGGTCCAAGATATCCAGCAAGAGAAAGATGGCGAATCAACAGATATGGAAATAACATTTATGATTGACTGTTTGACCTGGACTAAGACAGATAAGATACAGTTTAAACATTATGTTAAGATTTTGTTATAGTTCATATGTAAAGCATAGGAGGGATGCAATGTTGACATTATTTATAGTTATGCTCACTTGACTAGTTGTCACGGGGCGTCAAGAACAACGTTAGTTACTTAGTTACGAACACGAGGTAGAAAAACATCGAACTTGTAGTAGCGATTTATCTAACAATACTTTTATAGTATAAGAAGTTCAGAAGCATTGAATACCAATTTATAAACATTACAGTAGAAACATCTGATCACATCTCAGCATACAGTCGGTTTCTCCACCCGTCATTACCATAGTTCGTACACCACGTGTCGGAAGTGTATATATACTCGATTGGTTCTTTGACGTTCATATGGTAACCGTATTTCTTGTGTCGTATTGACGGTTTTTTTGAGTAAACACGGAACACTTTACCTTTCCCTTCGAAGTTATGACTGCATCCGTGTCTTGAGATTTTATATTTCATGCTCTATCAGAAACTCAGTCACCCACATTAGCTTTTCATTCCGAGTCTCCGATAACGTTAAGAGTACAGTTTTAATGGCATGGTCTTTAAGAGTCTACACACGTTCCATCGCCCAAAGGTTATGTATAACTGAACCACGAGTATAGGCGAACATTTTTATTAAATGACTGTCGACATGACTTGGAAGTAGATCCGCCACTGAAATTGGGGGAGAATTTCATATATGTTTATATCCACTTACCCTAAAAACAAGAGCCTTGAAATGGAATCAGTGCGGCATAAGACGATCATATATAAGAATATACACTTCGAATGAAAAACTTCTACCAACGTCTCTAAAGTCTAAACACAGCGAGCCATTTTTGACAAATCACGATTACTCCATGCGTGTCTGATCTTTATAGATCGCGTCACAAACTATATTAATTACACCTATTGGGAGCCACCTTAAACGTACTATGGTTTTTCCTTCGAATGTGGTGTTCCATTTTAACTCATTGAATTGTGTCATCCTTTTCCCTGAGTAGCTGTATATAAGGAACGTAGCATGCTTGTAAATTTTGTCAATACGTTTGACAATGACTTTAAAGTAGACCCAAAGAATATTGTCTGAATATTGTGTCTTGTTTTTATCAAAACAATCTCCCAATCATTTCCTTCTCTGATTTCAGGGATTTTCAAATTAAAGATCAATTATGGATCCGATAAAAAGCAAAGCTAATTATTTCCGGGTTTGTCAACTGTTGTTAGATAAAGGAGGAGATGCTTTGAGAGCTGCTTTGAAAAATTCTCTACAATCGATGCGTCCACCTTCCTCCTTGGCGTCCGCTTTGAAAGCCAACAGAGCCACACTACAAGGAATACGATACAATATAATTAAAGCCCCGCAATGGGATCTACTCTTCCCAATATCTGGTACACCAGATTCAAAAAGCTTCGATATCACCTTGCTGACTGTCCTACTTCGAAATATTTGTGGATTGTCTCCACCAGCCACTGGGTGGAATGTTATGCCTCCAGTTAGTGATACATCTATATCAGCAAACATTTTGAGAGTCAAAATGTTCAGGAATGAAGTGTATGCTCATATTCCAACTGCAAGTTTGGACGACACAACTTTTGAAAAATTGTGGGAGACATTTCGGTACTGTTGGTCAACTTGGGAATTCCTCAAAGGATATTGATGAGTTGAAAGTAGCTCCTCTCAGCCCTGAGAAGAAAGTTATAAAAGATTAAAAGAATGGAAACAACAAGAGGATGACTGGAAATCAGAATTAAGTGATGTTAAAAGTGAAGTAGTCAAGCTAAGAAAAACTGTAGATGAGAAAGTTCATCACTCAACTGTTGAATGGAAACTACAAAACGATGATTTGAAATCAGAATTAACTGATGTTAAAAGTGAGTAGTCAAGCTAAGAAAAACGTAGATGAGAATGTTCATCACTCAACTGTCGAGAAACTCGCTAAATTCGACTTTACTGGAAAGATTGACGACCTTTGTAAAAAATTCATGAAAACTAGAAAATGGTTGTTTGATAAACTCTCAAGTTGGTTTATGAGTAAAGAAACCAGAGTTATGATCCTAACTGCAGGTCCAGGCGCTGGAAAAAGTGTTTTGTCTGGAAAGATCTCTGAGCTGTATAGAGAACGTGACCAACTCGCAGCTCACCATTTCTGCGACTTTCAAATTTCTGATTACAGCAATCCTCACAGAATCCTCCAGTCCCTTGCCAGCCAAATGTGTGATAATGTTGATGGATTCCGTGATAAACTAATCGAAATCCTTCGTCGTGAACATTCTCGGGACTCGCTGTCAGATGCATTTCGTGTTCTTTTAAACGATCCACTACATCTCTTCAGAATGATCCAATGTTGATCATTGTTGATGCCTTGGACGAGAGCAAAACTGATATGAAGAGCGAATTTTTGGAGTTGATATCGAGAATTTTGTGAACTGCCTGATTGGATTAAGATATTCATTTCGAGCAGACCGGAGCTACAAGTACGGAAGGTTCTTCAACATTTACAGCCGTTAGAAATCCGTCCTGATGATGAAGATCACAATCAAGATATTGCGCTTTTTATTCGTCGTGATTTACCTAATCTTGATGATGATGCATAAGGTAGTTATTTCGAAGTGTGAGGGATCGTTTTTGTACGCTTATCACTTAGTCATGAATTAAGAGAAAAAGGGCTTGGGAATTGAACCCGGCTTGAGTGATTTCATCCCCAATGGTATTGCCGGATATTACGAAAAACAGTTCAAACGTTTGAAAATAGGCCTCCAACGTTTAAAGCAAGATACCTTTTCTTCTATCTTAAAGAGTTTTATCAATGTTATTGCCGCCGCATTCATGCCTCTCCCACTGAAAATTCTTTTTACATGCATGGATCTGCCCTGGAAAGAATTTGAAATACGCACGGCGATTATTGACATTATGTCAGAAATTCTTCCAGTTTATGATGGTTGCCTGACTCTTTATCATAAGTCATTATGGGATTGGATGACGTTGAATGGGTATGAGGAACATGCGTTTGTTGCAGATGTTAATGACGGAGATAGACGTCTTTGGCGTGCTTGTGAGAAGGAATTCTGTGAGATAGAATCTTTAAAGTCCGTTTTAGAATTTCAAATTTCACCCGAGAATGAGTACGCTTTGAAAAATGGTGTGAAATATTTGATGAAAACAGGTAAGGTGGAGGAATTTCACTGGTTGGTGCATGTTGGCGTAAACTATTTAAGACTAAAATTTTGCGATCGCGATCGCAACACCGATATTGATTTGAACCAAATCCTTGACACTTATAATAGTAATCTTTCCAAAGATATTTATTACGGCATAATTCAACTGCATTGCCTCTTAGAAAAGTTAAAAAGAGTGTATTTAATGGCAGAAAGCCCTCCAGCAAATTGTGACGATTATTTGAAAGATCTTGCAAACGGATATTTTGATTTTTCACAAAATAATTTCTTTCGTAAAAATGTTGCTAGAAATATCTTGGATACAGTAAATGAGATTTGGATGGAGCGTGTGACAAACGAAGAGAATCATAATTTAAATCATTTCCCCCGTGCCTTGTTAGATAATTCTATTATTATTACCAGTTCTCTGTCACCGGACAATACGATGTTTGCCCTCTTTTATAATCAAACATGGACAGTGCAAGTGCTTAAAATACCAAGCCTCGCAACTCTTTTCAAGATAGAAGTAGATGCGATACACGTTGATATTGACCACTTTTTTGTCTTTTCTCCTGATTCCTCCTATATTTTATGCAATTCAATTCGGTCATGCATCCTTGTTAAAGAACAAAAGGAAGTACCCTTCATTGCACACGGTCCCAAAGACATTCAGAGTTGTTCTTTTTCTTCCTGTGGAACGAAACTTGCTACATCAGGGCCGGAATTCATCCAAGTGTGGGATGTAATGCGGAAAACCATATTAGCAGAAGTTTACAATGACTTTTTGGGATTTAGGAATTATTGTTTGTTTAGTTTGTGTGGCTCCTACATTCTCCTTTTGGATTGCGACTCATCAATGTGTACGAATGTCTTGCGCTCTGAGAATTTGGAAGAAGTATATATTGAAAAGAATTCTGTTAAGCCGTGTTTGTTAAGTAAAGTTTCCATTCAGATACATTCACCAAATAGATTGGTTCTTGGCAAACCATCCCGTAGGATTAGCTTTGATCATGTTTGCTTGCCATCTGGTGAGATAGTCCTCCTTTCTCGTAAAAAATGTTCAAAACCCTTTTTATGGAAGGGAAAAAAGTGTGTAGCATTTAGCGATCACTCCTTCGCTGTAGCTCTAATAATATACGACTTTTTAAACCAAACGATCGTTGACGTCTTTCAGATTGATTATTTGCCTCTTGAATGTGATTTCGATCACATTTCAAAATTAGAAGAGACGAAATTCATTTTACGTATTTCGGATCCAAACCTCGTATGTATTATATCACTTGAATCTCCTGATGCTTCTTTTGTCGTCAACGCCCGTATAGATTGCTGTGCATTATCTCCAGACACCTTGTATGTAACGTGCTGTTTTGAAAATTGCATTCTTTCAATAAGAAGTATCGACAATGGGGAAACATTGCAAACTGTTCCACTAAAACAACGAGCAGTGGCTTGTTGGTGGTCTAAGTCGTATCTTTGGTTGGTCTGTGAAGGCGTGGTGTTAAATATCCTTATGAACCTTTGAATTCAAATATCTTAGGAAATCAAACTGAAGAATCTATTTTAAATTTTAGTGGTGTTGTTAAGTTTACAAAAGATGTTCTTGTAATTAGCACTAATGGGAGAATTTCTATTTTGAAAATTTGTGGTGAAAATCTCAGTCATCAAGAAATACCTTCTTGGAATTTTGACGAGGCCCATAGTGAAAAGTTCACTTCTGTCGCAATAAGTTGTGATGGGTGTGCTGTTATGTTACATTGCAGTCGCAGGAAAATTTATGAATTGTGGGAAATAGAATGTGGAAACAGATGGTTTGTACGTTCAACGGGGGAGTTGAATGAATCAGTTAAATGGTTCTGTTTAACTGGTACTAATATGACTCGTAGTTTAGTATTAGTGTCATCCGTCAATGCATTAACTACCTTTGGGGAATTTCGTTTATTTTCTATTAAGTTTCTAAGAAATGGTATAAGAAATGAGCATGTTCTTCCTATTAAATATTTCAAGAAGGCTTTTTACATTGATTCCGAAATGGTAGGTGTTTTAAATCATTATATGATGCATTTCGTTAAGGTGTCCGAAGGCAGAATCATGGCTTCCGTACGGTTACCTTCTTATTCTAAGGTATATTTTCATTTTTTCCTGCGATCGACTTGTTCTTTTCTATCCGTCAGGAGAAATGGTAACAAACATTATAAAATTCATAATTTTAAATTATGAATAATTTATGGCTTCCTTCGCGTAATGATCCTGGAAAATGCGACTTTCTGTCTTAGGTGAGGAAATATCATGAATCATTAATTAATACTAAAAAAATGATTTCTTGATAGAAAATGTTGAGGTAGATAAGTATTGCCAATTAAACTTACGGATAATATCCGACAACTTAATTTGAATAAACGTCCTAATATTGGAAAAACCACGAGATGTGTCAAAGTTTTGAACTGTGCCGATTTTGTTAAATCTTGCATCGTCTTTATAGCATAAGAGTCGATTGATTCAAATATTTCCTACGAAGGTACTTGTGGTAAGCGTGCAGGTATACAGCTAATTCAAGAAACGGTTTCCATACAGATACATCTGACGTCGCCAGCTCGTTAGGTCGGCTGGGAGATACTCGTGTATTTATGTTCTAAGTATAGTCCTAACACAAATCGATTGTTCTAGCGGTCAGTGAACATACATGGATACATAAATATTCTGATGTTTAAGGTTTTAACTTGTTTGGCACTTCTTTTTCTTCTTGAGTTAGTTGTTTACCGCGATCTCTTGCATATATAATTTGGTTTACTCTGAGCAATGTCGTAAAAATTGAAATGATTGTTACCTGAGCAAATACTTTTCTTAGCATTGGATGATTAAGCGCAATATATTCATCAATTAAAAACCTTAATTTTAGGTCATCTCATGTCGTTACTATAGTTAATCTCACGCGTAAGGCCCAATTACACTATACGGGGTCGCTATTGAATACAGTCAAATTTTTTAGCTGCTAAAAGGCTGTGAGTATTTATGTCTGATCTAAAAAAATCTACTAAATCTATCAAACCAATGAGCTTTTACTACCAACCATTTCTTGTTAACGGAAACGAAATTGTCTTGACCAGCTAATCCTGTGTCATGTAATGTGGGCCTTAGTCACAGATAAAATTACTGTTACTTGTATATCTAAGATTATTTCAAGATAATTGGAAATTTGATTTAGCCAATATTAAGCTACATTTGGATGTTGGCGTAACTGATTACATGCTAATTGAACGAAAACAAAGGTGGACCTACAGTACTTTCCATGCAGAAATAACCTACCAAAAACCGCGGTTAACCTTGGTCAAACCTAGGTCTGATCGTGGTTGAACTGATGTCAGACCGAGGTCGAATCGCTGTGAGACGGAGGTTATACCTCGGCCTCATTCTCGGTATGGCAGACATTTCTTAAGATTTTTCCGATTTGGTTAATGTGTTGTCGTTCTCATTGTTCATAACATTTCGTTTGGAAGCGAATGGCCTGTGTGAACGTATTTTTTCCCTTGCGGTCGTATGCGGTTTCTATCGGTCGACGGCAACCGAACTACAACCGCAGTGTTAGGTTATGTTGGGTTATGTTAGGTTATTTGTGGACAGTACTGTAAGTTTGTGCAGTTCTGATTTTATCCTGGAGATCTTGAGGCTAGATCATATTTAATCCCAGATCATATTGTGGCCAATTTATACCACTTTCGGTATACTCATTTTAATAATTGTGTTTGATTGAAAATTATTGTTCTAAAACCCTGCATGTTTTTCTGCGTTGAATTTTTAACGCAGAAAAAGATTAAGAATAAGAATAAAAATTCTTCATTTTTGGCTACTTTTCGAACATTTTTTATGCTTGTCTTCAGATTTAGAAAATGAAGTTAGAGTTAAGTTTGAAGGCGATTAGATAAACTGCAGAGACTTTCGTGTATTCCTATATTCATTTAATCAGTTAAAAACAAAGTAAAAATACCAAGTGAACGGACAAAGACAAAAACCTTCGAAACGAGGATGGTCGAATATGATTTGGTTGAACCGAGCTTCCCCAGATACTGTCAGAGATAAACTTTCTTAAGGCCCATTCACAAGATCTATCTGTCGGATCCAATTCACTGCTGACGTATGGAATGTAGTTGGTTATTGATAAAGCAGTAGTGCATTGACTTTAGTTCATTTATGGTCCACATACATTGCAAGTTAACCGGCAGACTATAAAACATCCATCAGAAGTGATTTGGATCAGACAAAATTGGATCGTGCATGTGAACAGACCTTGAGGAAGCTTTAGAGGGTATATAGAAGAAAAAACAATTGAAAAGTTGTAATGTTTGCCTGAATTATGTCCATTTAATTAACTGGTAACCTTTTCTTATTAGTAGAAGAGCTTCAACCAGCAACAATATTAAATACTTAATAATGACTGATACCTTGGTTATTAATGTTTTTTTAACTTTTAACTTTTTCTTATTACTTGTAAATCCATATCTGTCGTATGTATCTAAACACGTCGTTGTCCGAAAGTCAACGTTTTTATAACTGTATAAATCTTATTACCCTGACTCTTAAATTTTAGACAATTTAGAACTATGGTTAGGATTATGAGTGTGTAGCTTAGCATCAAATGAATTAAAATAAACAAATGCGTTAATAATTGTCTTTGCGTTTGTTATAAAAAGATTTCAAAGAGGAAAGATGCTTCGAAGAACAAATCTTCGCGGCTGTACGTCAAGATAATTCTGCTACTAGAGTTATATATCTTGTTGAATATCTATTTTTAGGCTCATCATATGTTCAACGACATACATGCACGATATCTTCATTATCAACGCAGTGTTTAACAAATAGCTCGGTCTAGTGCTGCACAACCAATGCCGTCGTTCTTCAGTTTTGTCTTTCAGCATGCCTGCTACCAGACCTAGTTGTGCCTAGAACGAGAATTCAAAGACGCACCCACGTCAACCTTCGCGGCGCATAACGACAGCAGCAAGGTCGACAATTCAGTCCACTGACATCAGACAAGTCCGCAACAAAAAGTATAACAGTTAGTGTAACATAAACAATTGTTTACGTTGGAAGAATTCCATGGTTAAAAGTTTGAAAATAATTGTATCTTTGTTACAATTTATTTCTTATACTAGAATACATGCATGCAGCAACCCCTCTCCATTTCATACGAAGCAAAATATTTCTTGACCTATATAACCCTCTAAGCTTATGATTATTATGAAATGATTTAAATATGTAGGCCGATATTGCTGATGTTTGAATTTTCGGAAGCAAACACAGTCATATAAAAGGTGAAGTGAAATCGTGCTGTATTAGCATGGTTTGTCTATCGGAAAGTACTGCAACAGATCCCCGATTTTTTGGAGATAGTGTGAACCAGGCCTTACTTCGCTATAGCTAAAACATCAAAACAGTACAAATAATTTAAAGACCCATTCCCTATGCACTAAACGTCGAATGTTGTTTTTCGATTATTGAATTCATGAAGAGATTGCAGTTGACTCTATAACAGTTTTAAAGTGATATTTGTTATATCAAAACTACGAATTGTACTTTCAAGAGCGTTTTTTCTATTTTATTCCTTCTCTGGTTTAACATGTTTATTGCTCGCCATCTCGAAAAAAAGTCCCCCATGTTCCACAAACGTCCAAATTTATCCTCCCCATCTAATTTGAATAAATTAATATTAGAATGTCTAAATAAATTAACATACATCATCTTCTATTTTTTGAAGATTTTATAAATATGTTAAAATCCTATCTATGAATGTTAATGGAATAACTTTCTATTAGGGGTTCGTTCGTTACCCCGGAATGAAGGTGTAGCCTGCTTCTCTTCGAAGCAGCAATGTCCGTCCTCTTCTGTATTCGTTTGAGGCCATTGAGTTTCTTCAGTTCCTTCAATAACCTCCAGTTCATCTTCATAACTCTGCTCTCTTATTTTCAAAAGTTTTATATCAACTGGGAGCGGCACAACGTCAGTCAGGTTTCCCTTGCTCCACGATAATCTTGTTCCCTACATCGTTGATATCAATGATCTTAAACGGCTGGTCAAGGAAGACCGGGTCAAATTTCGCTGAACGGCGGTATTTTCTGATCAGCACCTTCTCCCCAACGTTAAAGTTTGTTTTCTTTTTGTATTTGGAGATATTGACCTCCTTCTCGTAATTGGCTTTTTTCTATTTTTTTTCCGTTTCCTTTGCTTCTTCGGTTGCATATCTTCTTGGAAACCCTGAACGTTGCCCATCCTGAAAGAGCATGACTGCTGGAGGCATACCCGTTGCTGGATCAGGTATTTGCCGGTAATTGTTCATTGCTCTTTTCAAGGCTTCGTTGTCGGCCACGCCCTTCTGATGCACAATCTTCATGGCCTCACCCAAAGGCCGCATAACATACAGGGTTCGAGGAGGGGTGTAGTGGAGGTGTGTACCGCAGTTCAATTGATCTATTTGTTGCAAACTTCTGTATTCGAGCGCTATTAAATGGTAGGCCATTATCCGATATCTGCACCTCTTGATTTCCTCCATTAACTTCATGAATTTCACTGAGTACTGGAGTGAGTCTGTCTGCTTTCGTTGATGTGACCAGTTTGGCTGCGCGAAATCGCGACGCTAGATCTTGCACGACTACAACGTGCTTTGACGATGGCATCGGTCCGAACAAGTCGAATATCAAGTTTAAATAAAGCGTATGTATGTATGCTACCGTGTCCTAACATTTTTGTGGGATTTTGTGTGGCTTGGTTGGTTCTTTAGTCTTCTTATCTACAAACATAGCATAGCCGTCGCATGACTCAACCAACTCCTTCACTTTCCTATTCATATCATGGAAAAAGAAGTGGTGTCTAAGCCTTTTTTCTAGTTCGCTTTGGCCGGGATGCGATCCTCTGTGGGCAATTTTAATTGCCATCTCTGAAGCTTCTCCGGTAAAACGATTCTTTCATCTTTCAATATTATACCATTTCCGGTGACCGTAAGCTGTGGCAGGATCTCCTTAAAACGCTGCACCTCGCTTGCCTCCGACTTGGGAATCTTTGATTTATGAGCTTTCCGATCTTTACAAGAGTTGGATCTTCCTTCGTACACTGTGCAATTTTTGCATAGCCAATGCAGTCGAGTACCGAAGTGTTGTGGAGCATGTATAATAGATTATTTAAGTCGTCCTCTTGCTATGACTGTGGAAGCTTTTGTACCGGTTTTGCATGTCGTGATAAATAATCCGACTGGCTAATTTTCCCTCGCTGGTAAACAACGATAAACCGAATGTCTTCATGTTTCAGCTTGACTCTTTCGGTTTGAATTGAGCCTGGTCCTTGCCGTTTACCGTTAAAAATTGAACATAAAAGTGGATGGTCTGTTATCACTTGTATTTTGGTTGGAGCACCAACGACGTAGTTGCGGAATCTTCTCAAGACGAAGTCGATGCCAAGGGCTTCCAGATCAATCTGAGGATACGGATACTCGTTCGTTGCTCTTGATGCCACTGGTCTTGCGTTCTCAACGCTATTCCCTTGTGCCAACATCGCTGCAAGGTCTGTCTTGTGGGCATCAGTGAATATAAATGCTTGTTAATCCATATCAAAATATTATTGTAGTGTTCGCTGCTTGGTTTGCGAAATTTGGAATGAACTCTGCATTTGACTGCATCATACATAGGAAACTTACTATAAGTCTTCCTTCGAACTGGGCGCTGATATATAGTTGAGCGCATCCACTTTAGCAGGACTCGGTCTCACTCCGATAAAACTAATTTGCAGTCCCCAGAATTCAATTTCTGTGATACAAAAATGCATCTACTTGGGTTGAGAGTTATGCCGGCATTGGACATAGCTTTCATGACTTCTTTAATTGCTTTATTATGTTGTAAATTCTTTGTCGCTACGATTAGGTCTTCATGTATGAGGCGAGCTTGCGGAATATTGGCAAATAAAGGTTGAAGGGCTACGTTAAGCTCGTCTCGCGCTGGTTTCGCTCCCATTGTAAGACACTTGTACCTCTACAGCGTGGAA